TTTATCTTGCCCCTTGGCACTGCCGGGCTGAGTTTGAGACCGGTGTGTTTTGTTTCAAAGCTACGCAAGACAAGTTGTGGCTTTGATACTCGGAGGGCTCTCTGCTCCTGCGACTCCCCCGTAATGCCTAAACATCTTCCTATTGTTACTTCTATTATACACTTTCGTCTACTTTCTCTCTCTCTCTCTCCCGCTCCTCCTCCCTAACTTGCTCCCTCCTTGTTCAAAGAAGCATGGCAGGGCCCAGCTGGCGGACTGCTACCATTGGCGCCTCAATAACAAGTAATATCAGCCTAAGCTGTACTTGCGGAAGTCTATACCACAATTAAACCACACAAACTAGAACTTGGTTAGGCCCAGCATTACTGCTCTTGCTTCTGGCGATGCCCCTCATCCTCTTCCTACTTCACCGTTCTTTGTCATAGCAATGGGAAAGTGCCACTATCTCAATACTCTCAGCTCTCTCCTTGAAATCTACTCCCCTACTGTATTTCAAGCCCTGAACCCCAAGCCCCGCTAATGAGCTTCAACGGCAGCCCAAGATGAATCCCTCAAATCAATATGAGCTACAGACTGAATGTAGGTTGGGGGGGACCTCTTGGGGACTATATAAGGTTTTTGAGGGGACCTAGCAGGGAATATACTAGGAATTTAGTCCAGGGCTCAATCTATAGCGCCACCACCTTAAAACCCAGAAGCATCCTAGACCCAATCCCAACAAAAAGAACCCGGAGTCCTCTTGAGGCAAGGAAGCAAAAAGCTCTTTCCAGGAATCTGCGGGCAGCCCTCCTGTCTTGCTCACCTGAGTACATAGAGTTCCTGGTGGTTAAGCCAGATGAGATTACCTTCTTATTCCAAAAAAAAAGCAACCAAAACCGAGAACAGAATCTTGCCCACCAGAGTACATAATGCTCTTGGCAGTTAAACTTGGGAACGATGGTATGCCCAATAGAAAGTATACTTGTGTACGGTGAGATTGCAGTTCTCGAGGGACTTCCTCAGGACAAGATGGACTCAAGGGGCTTTGTATGAGTGAAAGAGAGAGAGAGAGAGAGAGAGTGCATAGAATCCCTTTGGGTCCCCACCCACTGGCAGACCCTATAGGGATGATGGAACCATATTAGGGTCCCTCTGAATTCCTGCGTTGCCGAGAGTACCGGTTGGGCACCTTACTTACTGGTGGTTCGTAGGGATTAAGGCATAAGGGAATATATTATATAGGGATTATATAGGGATTATATTTCGTGGTTAGTTGGGAAAAAGGGCATGTAAGCCCTGCACAATTCATTCCCTTATTCCCTGTTCCTTCAACTCAAATGTAGGGGTCTGAACCAGTCTCCATTTCAGTGGCCACGTTCTTTTGCCAGTGTTGTTCCATTATCCCATTATCACTGAACCCTAGCCCTGCGCCCTATATCCAAAACATAGCCCCTATATAACCCCAATTAAAGGGACCCTAAACCCCATGCCCCGAACCCTATGCCCTAAACCCTGAACCCAACACACTGAACCCTAACCCTCTTAACTCTAAACCCCTTAACCCTACACCCCGTATTTGGGTTCCTACAGTAATTGCCATCATTTCAAGCCGAAGTCTCTCCGAACGCTCCCAACTTGCCAGGCTTCCTAAGGGATCGAGGGCTTACAGGGCTGAGCAATAAGGGATGGGGATTTAGGATTTAGGGTTTAAGGATTCAGGTTTAGGGTTTAGGGTTGAGAGAGTTCTTGGGTTTTAGGGTTTAACTTTAGGCTTAGGGTTGAGGGGTTAGGGTGCTTCGAAGCTTCGGGGCTGAGAGCTTTGGGCTAGGGCCTTGGGGATGAAACTTAGGAGTGCCCAGGCTCTTGGAGTTATCGGTTGAGGGTTTAAGGTTTACCCAGACCCTCCCATGTGGTTCTTTTTTGGGTAGTAGTATATTATAATCCTTTACCAAAAAAACACAACTACATAGGAGCCCTTGGGTAGGGTTCAGAGTTTGACGTTTATTGTGATCGTGTTGGGGGTTGAGGCTGAGGCTGGGGGGAGGTCAGCAAAGTCATGGGATTGGGTAGTCCCGGAGGGAGGAGGGTCACGTATAACTGGGTTGCTGTTAAGGAACTGAAATTTAGTCACCATAATATAGGTATAGAATAGATGATAAATTTTCCTTATCATAGGAACTTGGCTTCAAAATTCCCTAACAGCAACCCAGATGAGGGCCTGGGTGAGACGCAGAAGAAAACAAGCCCGATGCGACAGAGAGAACGAGAGGGAAAGAGAAAGAGGAACACACATCACAGACCATGACAAAGCACTGGCAAAGTCTGGAACGAATTCTGGCACAAGACCGTCGCAGTGTTCACAAATATCAAAAACAAAGCAAGTCAACTCCACGCAAATACTGCGATACCGCATCCAGTGTCGAAGAACATGAACTCAAAAAGTACTCCAAAACCTGTACTCAACATCCAAAATCCCGCAGACCCGAAAGTCTGAACCCCCTGACCCCAAACCTACTGAACCAATCATATGATCATTCCAAGGCCTGAAGCAAGGTCATGTGGGGACAAATTTCGACATGGACCACACTTCGAGGTTGTCATGTAGACCTCTAAAATCCCCAATAGAACAGGAGTTAACATCTTCTTGTCCATTCCTTCACGTCCTGGTCAACAAATGCAATGTATGGTCTCGTAGCCCATCCTGGCACAGCCCAAGCGTCAGTACTGCGGAAATGCGCGAGGCGTTTTGGGGCGTGAGGCGGCAGTCCGCGAAGCCTGGCTTTGGCTTCCATGAGCGCTTTGGATTTAGGAATTGAAGGTTTTCGATTTAAGGTCTTGGGTTTAGAGTGTTGGGTTCTTCTTTAGTAAGGTATTGGGAACTCTTAAAGTGACCTACTAAGCTCAAGTCTTGTAAGCCCCACTCCCACTCCCCTTTCAAAGCACCAGTCGCAACATAAGCTATAGTCTAAACTCCTAGTATCCCCCTGAATAAACCCCGATAATACTCCCCTAGATCATGCCCTACATAACCCCCTCGAAAGAGTTTAGACCTTAAACCCTAAACTCTAGACGCTAAACCCTAAACCCTAAACCCAAACCCGAAACCCTAAATCCCATATAACCGCTCAAAAAGGATATAGTGTATAGATGCAGCAAGGCAGCTAAGCCCACTGAGCGGAAGCTCTGAATCTCCCATACACTGCCTCAGTCTGCAGGGTTTAGAGTTTTTGGCTTATAGGATTTACGGTTAAAGGCCTAGGATCTTATAGGATGTGGGGTTTGGGATTCTATAAGGCTTTACAGGGTTTAGGGTGTCGGGTCTATAGCGTTTCGGATTTAGGGCACACTGCCTTGGGCTGCAGGTTCATCTGGTAGTCGCCTTACATTTGAAGGGAGTAGAACCGGAACATCAAAAGAGGAACTCGAAGCATATGGTAGGAATATAATGGGGATATAACGAGCATGGTAGCTGGTAGGCATGTTCCTATTCTGTTCTTACTAAATATATACAGATATTTATATATATATATGTATATGTGAATATTCTTGGGGTTCCCTGCTTTGGGGTTTGCATTAAAGTCCCTTTAAAATAGGTGCAACCAATAGTGTCCTTACTTGGGGACCCCAAGAAGGTACCCCTAATTTTGGGAAATCCCCATTTGGTCTTTAGAAGTGTGGCGCTGGGGGTTTCTAGATGCACGTGTTTCAGCTTTTATAGAGCTTTTTAGGCTGGAGGGTATAGCCCGGGCTTACAACTGAATGCTGATCAGGACATATCCAAGGCCTACTGTACATTCCTCACAAAAGCAAAAACAACACGTAGAATACGGGCCATCTCAAGAAATAAATCCTGCTCCATTGACTCTTTGGCATCCTGGAAGAAATTTTTGTGACCAGCCGCAATCCCTACCAACCTATATCCCATTGAGGTTCGCGGTTCTGTATAAGCCTGTAAGAACGCCACGATTGATGTTGTATCAACTATACACAAGGATACTGTAACTCGGCACAAAAACTTATGCTAGTACGTAGTTTTACGACCCTAGCTTACCTGAATGTGCCTTAGAATAATATGGGTATATCGTAAATACTTCTAACAGCAACCTAGTCATTTTCGAACCGTGTGCTCCGATCTATGCAGGTTCTGTCCCATGGCAATGCCGAACGGCGTGCACCTGTGCCATCACTCCTGTGGCATTAGGATGATCTGTTGGTTTAGGGTTCAGTGATTGGCGTTTAGCAACTTCAGGTAACCAGGTCGTCAAGTCCGGCGTCTGGGGGATCAGGGCTGCTACGGTACAGCTCCTGCTCAAAATCTGGAAGTCTAAGGATATCTCTGCCTTGAGGGACACCAAACTTGAAACTTCTGGGAATTTGCAGATTTGGGATGGTGCATCGTGTGATGCCGTGGCCTGTATACTAGGAACAGGGCTTGGGGTGCATTTTTATAGTATAAGTATAATGATACAAGGCTTGTCAAGGAACAATGTTGGCAATAATTCGAACTTTTGCATTATAGGGCTTGGGCTAAGGATTTGGGTTTTGTGTTTTGCGCGTCCTTCCACATTTCCTCTACACGGTTTTATCTGGCGTAACGATGCCGAAGCAAACACAATTCATCCAAATATTAAGATGAAGCGAAAGAACGACAAGGAACCCGTACTTGAACCCTTACAATTATGAGTGGCGGGAGAGGCACCCGTTGAGGGGAGGTAAATGATTAAATCTTACAGCAAAGTGGATTTTGACAACTCACAGTCTCCTCTGTTATTCGTGCCGTAGTTGACACGCAGTGCCAGCGGCAAACACTCCAGCGGCGCATTCTGTGCAAGCAGGGTTTCTCTTCCACGCCTTGTACAAGAACACAGCCGGAAGATACAGTCAAGGATCCACACTCGGAGGTCGCCGTAAAGGACTGGGTTGTGCAGGGGTAGGCGCAAGCCAAAGCATCACAGAGTGCCTGGAGTGCTTGTTGGGTTCCTAGCGCTTCTGCTGCTGAGAACCATCCAGAGAGGACTTTATCATTGGTGTCCTGCTTTCTTCACGACTTCCCTGAGTTGCTCGACAGGCGGCAGGTCAAATACAATGGGCGGCTGTATGGGTTGGTAGTCTTCTGTGCAGGTGGCAGCATTGACAAAGAGGGTCACACCGTCTGTCGCAGTACCATGCGCCATATGCAGGTGTCCTGCCACCACTACTGCAGCGCTTAAGCCTAAGCCCTAAGCCCTCTCTGATCAACTCCATCAAGCATGCTCTTGTCCTGTGACCACGGCTGGAATGCTGCGATTCTGGATGGCAGCCAGTAAATCAACATCTCCAACTTTCCCTACCGGGGTGATATCCACGAATCCAGCTGGCGGTCCATGCACCAGAAGGATGTCCTGGCTGTTGGCTTCCCCAACCGTTTTAGAATGTTAACATCGAATCATTGTCGGGCTTTCCGCTCTCCCTGAGTCTGTCTCTCGGTGTCTCTGTCTCGGGCTCTCTCTCTCTCTCTCTCTCTGTGTCTCAGTCTCTACATAAACACATGAATATATATGCATGTATATATATATGTATACGCAGATCCACATATAGGCAAAGGTTAAGAGTAGGGGCCAATAAGAAGGGTACTGAATCAATCCAGGGTTTGAAATGTTACTCAACTAACCGAGGTGGCGGTGTCCACGGGAATGGAACGCCAACGCTTCTGCAGCTGAGCTCCACGGGGCAGGTTGAAGGCCCAGTCGTAAAACTCTGGCTGCCACGGAGAACCTAATGTGGCTCCGCTAGGGATGGGTGAACGGATTTCTGTAATTATCCCGAACCACTACAACCCTAATAGTGCGTGCAACCTATTCCCCCCTTCTCATCTGAGCATCAACAACATTGGGGTCTAGGTGTCTAGGTACAAACTTGGGGTCTAGGTGTCTAGGTCCTTGCTAGGAAGCTGAGAAAGAACCTGTTGCAATGCTGTCACAGAAGCCGTCTGGGATCTGAAGACCCCAAAAAAGTACAACCTGAATCCCAAAACCTACAGATGTGTAACACTAACCGCGCCCCGGGGCCGTATATCTTGTAGCCATGGACTTCTGCAGACGTGTCCTCCAACAGTGAGTGACGAACTCAAGCCCAAGTGTTTTTTGCAGAAAATGCCTACTGTGTAGGAAGTACAATCCTTTGAAAAAGACGAGTTTGAAGTTCAAGCCTTAGGCTGCGTTTGCAGCGTCAACGCGATTGGTCTGATGCAGGGATCTGAAAAGGTCCTCCAAGTAGATCACGCTCTTCAGCACTTGCTTGACCTGGCTGCAGTTGTAACGAACACCTCCGTGGAATCGCTGTGCTCCGCGGGATACATAGTAGTCCTCTTGGAAGGTGATGTCATGATTGCCGGCAATGACCACTTTGTTCTTTGCGGGATAATCTGCCAGCCACTTGCTGAACGACTGAACTTGCTCAAGCTCACCAGTGTTGGTGAGGTCTCCTGCCATCAGGAGTTTCTACAAGTTCAACACATTCTGGAAAACTAGGACATGTTAAGACTGTCTACACAACAGGAGGTCTGGCCCAAACTTCCACCTTAAAAGAGAAAGTTCCAGCTCCGCCAGCTTTCAAAACCTAAGGCTCAGCTGCATAACGAATTCTGAATACTCCAAGCCTTATGAGGAGGCCAGGAAATCCCCAAAATCACAGCTGCGCAAGCAGTTGAAAACCTTCAACTCCTTAAATTAACATGGGAATTCACATTGCCGGGACAAAAGTCTATAAGGACCCCTTTCTTGGATTGCGTTCCTTGTCTGGGCAAGTGAACACCCTGAGCGCAAACCCGGAAAGGCTTGCCTGCATGTAGCAACACATCTGCGGCCGGCATGTGGTCTGTCGGGATGGAGGAATGCCGACCGTGCGTGTCACCTTGGCTGCCAAGGGAACCCAAACACTGGAAATTCTTAGGATCCTTTATAACATCCCTNNTTCCAGGGTTTTGGTTCCCTTGGTGATGTCAGCGAATCATGCCGATTAGCAGTTAGAGTGCTGTATGGGCGGATTTGATTAGGATAGGGAGCCGGGGCGGGGGAGTGTATTGACAATTTGCCTATAGTACACACAAGACCCCGCTCCACTTGGATTCATGAGCTGAGACAGGAGCTTCATTACGTTTAGTCCGAAATCCCCACATGCATCCCAAGAGAGGCTCGTTGCGCATGGAATACATCTTGGGAAGAAAAGAACCACACGCAACTCATTTAAACAAATAAACGAGGAATCGAGACAACATAGGCGGACGCCGCGTGCCTGCCATGGAGATGTGTGCCCCCCATAACTCATATAACCCACTAAATCAGCCTGCGTGATTTGCATATCTGCCAGGCCGGTCGCTAAAGCAAACGAAGCGCGTCCAGCCTGGCGCACGAGGCGTTGTCCAGGGTGCCGGCACCAACCTCCGACAGCTCAGTGGTTGGTAGGAAACAGAGGAATGCCAGCCTCCCTTTTACTGAGCACAAGCAAAGACATCAGCTATGTCTCCAAACAGCCCCATGCTGCCTTTAAAGGGACATGTAAGCAACATTCCACAACACGCTCTTGCCGAGCCCCCCTGAGTTTTATTTGATTCTTACAAGGGACTCTGAATCGAGATAACACAGAAGTCCTGTAGACATTCTGAAGCCTACTGCTCCAAACTCTGATAGTTGCAGGTGTTTCGGTCTAGGACGATTTTTTCTGCGGGTTGCTAGTGCTAGGCTAAGTGACCACCGAGTCATCGGCGAAGAGTCTGGAGCCTGCTCGTCCACGAACCTTCGAGGAGCTCCGACAATCTTTCAGGTGTAGGCTTTAGGGGTTAGGGTC